GGGCCGGGCCGGGCCGGGCCGCGCACCCGCCTCCCCGGCCGGCACCGCGGAGCGGAGCTGCGGGTCCCAGCGCCGGGACTCTCCTGCTGTCTTTTCTATTTTTGTTCTTTTTATTTTCTTTTCTTCTTCTTCTTTTTTTTTTTTTTTTGTTTTGTTTTCCCACTTTTTTCCCCCATTTTCCCGCATTTTTTTCTTTTTTTTCCCCCCATTTTTCCCTTTTTTTTTTTTTCTCTTTTTTCCTCTGTCTCCCGTGAGCCGGTCACTGCGCAAGGCGGCAGCATCCCGGCAGTTTAGCGATCTCCGGAATAAAACAACATTACGCCAAAGTCCGCGCTCTGTGTTGTTTCGGGAAAAATAAAAAAAAAAAACCCTCCGAGGCTGTAATCTATGTTGAAGTTTAATGCATTTCAGCATCGCTTTTTGTGCTTATATCTCGCGGAGGGAGAAGCAGTTGCTACAAGTATTTGTCACTTTATTTTTTCGCGTTTCCTCCAGAAATGGAGCGGCAGCAAGGAAGGACAAACCCGCCGTGCCCGCGCTCGGATCCGTTTCTGCGTTTCGGCCCAGCTCTCCCACACGTCGCCTAGAAGGAAGCGCTGGGCGGGTTTTCGTTGCGCTCCTTGTTTTCCTCGCCCCCTTCCCGGTGTCTCCCTGAGCGCGTCCCGGGCTGCCCGGCGGGGGCTGCGGCGCCCGGGCGCAGCTAAACCCAGTCTACCCGGCCCCGCTTCCAGGAAAAAAAAAACAAGATAAATAAATAAAAATAAATGTTAATTTAGGGAGATACAAAATCATTTTCCTCCCTCGCCCGCAATCGGCGCTTAGCCGAGTGTTAATTCTTAAGAGCTATAGAAAGAGCTCGCACCAAGGAGACGTCCCCGCGCGGAGGGACAACTTCGCTCCGCGTCCCACGCACGATCCCGCGCACGGCCGCTCCCGGCGCCAGCCGCTTCCAGGCGGGAAGAGCTTCCCGCGCCTTGGCGCCGCGAGCCGCAGGTGACACCTCCGGCACCGGGGCCGCTTCCCCGCTCCGCTCCGAGCGGCTCTGCGGGTTAGAGAAGCCGCTCGCGGCCCCGGCAGCTCCGCCCCTGGCCCTGCCCCGGGGCTCCCGCCGCCGCCTCCTCCCGCTGTCCCGGAGGCTCCGGGAGGAGCCTCCGGGACAGCGGGAGGAGGCGGCGGCGGGAGCCCCGGGGCGGCCCACGCGGCTCCCTTGCCCGCATTGAACTTAACGTTTAGCGCTAATTACCCCTTAATTTCGCCGCCTCCTTGGGAAGTTTCGTTCCGCACACGCGGAGAGAAGCGCCCGGTGGTTTGGAAACAGCGCGGATCCGGGCACCTGAGCGCGCTGCGAGCCGCGGGCGTGAAGTGCTTAGAGCTAGTGCTCCGAAAGGACAAGAAGTTGGTGCTGGAAATGCTGGAAATAGCGATAATTCCAAATCCTAAAAAGGCAGAATTCCTTTTCATCGGGAAACTTCACTTTCTTTCCTTGCTTTTTCTTTCTTTTCCCCTATGTATTCAATCGTTCTGCAAAACGGAGATTAAAATCACCCCATTAAAATGATGGCTGGTCGTTTGTCATGGCAATGGTGCCGCGGGATATTTGGTGACTTTTACCAAATTACTCTTCGGCGGCGATTTCCCCCTAATTAGAATATTATAGCGGCGATACTGAACCCTACCTGTTATTTTAGATACTTCCCAAAACGGTGCCTTGACCGTTCCTTCTTCCTGCTAGCCAAAAAAAAATAATAATAAATAAAAAAAAAAAAAATAGTTTTGGAAATAGGTGATTGCAGGTACTCGCCCATTGCTGCAAAAAATGTAATTTGGAGGAGAGAAAAAAAAAAAAGGAAGTTGCTGGATATCAATTTCACCAATCGTTTCTTTTCATATGGGGAAAAGCACCATTTAAACTGCACAGGTGGATGGACTTGGGCTCACAAAGTGCTTCTTTGATATCACTTTATTTGATATCACTTTATTTCTATATGGCAGTCGTCCTTCCACACACAACTCTTCATGAATTTTAAACTTTTATTTTTTAATATCTGCCTAGTACACTAGGGAGCCAGGAAAAAAAAGATGAAGTTGGGTTGATTAAATTATTTATCCCTCTTGCTGAAGTGAGTTTGAAGGCTCATGGAATATATCTGATTTCTTGGCTCCCCTTTCTTCCTTGCCCCCCTCATTTCACCCTGGTTATTTCATCCATATCATCCTGCCAGGAACAATAAATTTACTTTTTTTTTCCCCAAATAGGACAGATATTTTTAGAGAATGTCACGTTGTGTGAAATAAGCAGTATCATATTTTTTGTGATAGACCTTGATGGTGTCTGTAATCTTCCCTATACTTCCTAGTACTTTAGTTTGCATCTTCATCTTTGTATTTTGGAAGAACTGAAAAGGTATTTAACTTTAAAGGTATTTAAAGCTGAGTTCCTATCAAGCTCACAAATATTCCCCTTTAATGACATTACTGTACACCTCACTACTTAGATTTTGGATTTATGCATTTATAGGTATGGGAATATTTTTTTTATCAGTTAGCTCTTAGCTCTCTGCAAATGCCTTTTCTTTTTCTTTCTTTTTTTTTGCAGTACAGAATTAACTTTTATTGGTGCTAAATTCAACACATTCATATATTCTCATCCCATTAAAAATAAAAACGTTAAAAGTAAGAATTTGCCTTAGTGCTGGACTTTGTCATCCCAGGTCTTATGGATGAACGGTTAAGGCTTTAAATTGCTGTAATCTGCAATCTGTTAAGGGGAAAAAAACTAATTGATTTGTTTTCTCTAAAATGTTCCATCTGAAAACCTAGAGCTTGCACAACTGCAAATTGTAATTTTAGCTGAAATTGCAGAAAGGTTCAAGCTGGGCAAATGTGCTGATTTATTCATCTGGGTTACTTCTACATCGGCCCCTCCAAAACTAGACATTTCTCCAAGTAGAGCCTTTCATTTAAGCAGTCCAACACTCTTTTTTAAAGGTCTCCTGCTTTGAGAATGCTCTTTTCTGCTGAACTCAGAGAGGAGCAGGGAATCAGTGGGGATTAGCGCCTTTTAATCTACTACATCTGCAGTGGGTCATCCAGCACTGCAGAAGTCTCATTACTGTTTCCTGCTGCATATGATTAAATGGCTGAAAATATTCATCATTGACCTTGAAAATAAAGCTTTATGTGTTGGATGGGCAGCTTCTTAAGCCCAAACTGCATCCCTGGCAATACACTGTCTAGGGAAAGACAGTAGAAAATTTGTGCAAGTCAAAATGGAGGCGTGGTAATTTGGGGAATATGGTATTTTGTAAATTCTAGCATCATTTGGCTACTTCATACTATGTTTTATGAGTAACCCAGCATCTACTAGTCCCATCCACATGGGGAAATAATATGTCAGCAACGTACATACTTCTGCAGCTGGTATTTCTTTGTAATTTGGTTCACATTGCATAGCAAATTAACCAGCCACCAAAGTAAATTTTTATATGTAGCTGCAAGAGCTGTTGAAATCAGCAGAAAACACATTGCTGATCATCTTTGAACCCTAAGCTATATACAACTATTAGTATATGTAAGGCATATCTTTTATATACCTTTTGTCATATTATATGTTTCTTGCTAAGCTTCTCACTGCCAATAATACAGGTGGATTAAGTCACGCTAACTGGAACATAAGTCTGTTCTCTTTATATGCAACAGCATGGGGATGGTAAACTACCTGTGCAGCTCACTTCCTCTCAACTTAGGTAGAAAAAGACATGCCTTGCATATTTCAATCTAGTCTTGCGTTTTTTAATGCAGTCTATGGCTTTCAGGTATTTTCTTTCAAAATAACAGCGAAGGCAGGAGTTGAGTGAGTTGGTCACGAGTGATTAATACGTTTCATTGAACCTTATGAAGGCCCCGATCCTGCCAAGGCACACGTGGCTGACTAAAACATTCGGCTGCTTCTGGTGAAGCCAGTGGCTTTGGTAGGCTGTTAAATGCCCAGAGGATTTGCAAAAGCAGGGCCAAAGCGGCCAGCTCTTGAGGGTTAATTTATGGATAGCCCCAACGATGGTATGTCTTTGTAATGCTTCAGGAACATCAAATCCATGCACTCATGGTGATGATGAAGAAAACTAATGTCTACTCTTTTGCAGAGAGGTGGAACCTCCCTCTTAATGCCAGCAGCGTTGGCCTTTTACCAGCAGTGTGGAATTAGCTTCCTGAGAAAGGACAGCACTGTTTCATCCATATTTTAACAGGATGTTCCCATAAACCTGCAATCCCTAATCTGCTTTAAATCCTTTCCAGGGAGGTGAGGCTATTCACAGTAGTGCCTG